TGCTGGCCAGGAAACCTATTGGCTACCTCTCCCGCCATCCCAGACTGTGGGCAGGGGGGTGGGGAGGGAGTGGGCCTGGGGCTAGGACCCCCCCTCCAGAATTTCCTCCAGATGGGGCAGTACCCAGGGAGGGGTTATTTGTCTTCCCTGCCATGGAGGGGGAATCCCCAGCCCAGGGCCTAGGCCCCTCTGCAGGGACGGGATCCTCGGGGAGGAGGGTCCCAGGAGCAGACCCTGCCCTCAGCCCCGCAGACACACCCCAATCTGAAAGCCATGCGTGTCCGTGTATATAGGAACTATGTACAGAGCCCGGAGAAGCCCCCCTCCATCCCCCGGGAAAAAAAAAAAAGAAAACTAGACAGAAACTCATCTATATATTCTGTATCTGGAGTTCCGTTTTGAATATTAACTGTGTTATTTTTATACACTTTTTAAGCCTTAACTCGCCATTGATTTACCAGTTTAACGTTTCCTGGGGTTTCTTTTCCCACGGGGTTCTCCGCCCCACGCCCACCCCCTTGTTTGACTTGCGTCTGATACTCAGTATTGTAGCTTTTCGTCCGCATGTTACTACCCTGTAAATACGCTGTTATACATACTGTTAACACCCCTTTGCTTTTTTCTATGGGACCTCCAGGCCACCGTATTTAGAACTAGTTACCTTATTAAAAAAGAGAAAACAGTCTGTTGGCTTCTCAGTCTGCATCTTGGTGGCAGGGAGGTGAGGGCAGGTGCCCCTCAAAGCTTCAGGAAAGAAGGTTGCGTTATATTTAAGAAAAGGGGTGGGGAGCAAAAGAAAAATCAAATGTGGGGGATGACACTAAAGGGGGCAAGAAACAAAGGAATTCCAAACCCTCTGCTCTTTGTATTTCTCTGTTGTGAAGAATAAACTGTACCTGCACCCGGGTGGCGGTGGTGTGTGGCGTGCTCTGTGCGAGGCTGGGGCTGGGGGGCACTTTCCACTGCTCCTCTCCCCTCCCCCGCCCCCCAGGCTTGGGGAAGAAGGGACTTGGCCCTTTACTGTGGGCCGGCCTCCATCGCTGCTGAGCTGGCAGCTTGGTGTTGGTTACTTCCAACCCCCTACGAAAGGGCAGCAAACCAAGAGAGGTTTTCTGCTGAGGGTCATGCTGCAATTAAGTGGCAGGGACGATAAGTAAATGTGACCCAGGTTTGTCTAGTTCTGAATGAAGCCTTTTTAGATGTACGGGAGTCCACCAATGGAGTTCACTGCCCCTGCTCCCAGAGGGGCAGCCACATCGGTTCCCCCACCCCTCTTTGGGGGTCCATCCTGAGTGCTCTGATTTGTGGAAGCTATTCCAGTGATTGATGGAACCAAGAAGTCCCCTTCACATACATTCCTCATGGGAGTCAATATTTTCATTGCCTAGGAGGGAAATACAGGAATTAATTTCCCCAAAGTTTACCTAGGCTGGCCCCGTGCTAGGCGTTGTCGTGGGAGAGACAGAAGTGACTCAGCCGTGAGTCAATATGGAGCTCACCAGCCGAAACTCACTCCTCTGAGCCCTCATGATCTTTATGTGTCGAGACTTGGCTGCAAGTGATATAGGAAGCCCAATTCAAATGAGGATTTACTGGCTTACCTGACAGGACAGTGCAGGGTGGGGTGCGGCCAGCTTCAGGGCTCAATGATGCATCTCCAGCTCTCCACTTGGCTTCATTCTCAGACCCACCTTCAACCTCAGGCTCCTGTGGGGTCAGCAGCTCCAGCCTCCCAGTCCCCAGGTTTTCAGCAGTCAAGCCTCTCTTTCTCTGTCTCTCCCAGAAACCCCAGCAAAAGTCTAACTGGGTCTTTCTGGTTTGGACTGGGTTAGGTACCATCCCTAGACCAATTACTGTGATGAGAGTGTCTACTTGATTGCTTAGGCCTAGAGTCCATACTCCAAGCCTGGAGCAGACGGTGAAAACCCCATCTGAAGTACATCTCCCCAAGAGGGAACCAGCATGTGTCACCATGAGAAGGGGGAATGGATGTGGGGGCCAAGGACATGTTTTGAGTAATCTCGAAGGGCTCATCTCTTTCTCTGACATTGACCTTCCATAGCCTACTGTTCCATGAAGGGATGGGTGCTGGCAGCCATATTTGTGTCATGTGACCCTATCCCAGCCAAGCTGATTGGCCAGGGGTGGACACCTGACTCGATGACTCCATCCTGAGACAGTGGTACCAGCGGTGCCAGTGGTGCGTAATGGCTATCCTGGTCCATGACTGGCTTGTGCATACCTCTGCCCAACTCCAGCTTCATCGAGTGTTGCGGTTTGACATCAACCATGGTGGGATTTACATCATGAAAACCAGCAAATGCTACAAATCGGAGCTTTCTTTTTCCTCGAAGGGCCAGTTGCTAAACATTTACCACCACACCACTGGCTGACTTTCCAGATTCTCCCTTCCACGAATCAGAAACAAGTTAGGGGATGGCAGGCACCCGAACTGGGAAACCTTGTGGACTGGGGGTTGTAGTTGCTGTGTTGGGCCAGGCACAAGCAGAAGGCAAAGGAGGCAGAGAGAAGCTGAGGTGGACAGAGGAGACGGAGAGCCAGCGGCAGCCTCAGTTCCAGATTTTCAGTATCCATCTTCCGGCCAGGTTTAATTTCCTGCTTGTTTTCACATCAGTGAATTTAAGTTGCTAGTGATGTGACACCGGGTAAGTTACTTAAATTCTCTGTGCCTGATTTTCTCATATGTAAAAGTGAGGAAAATAACAGTAACCAATTTACAGGATGGATGTGAGGATTAAATGAATCAATATACGTCTAAGGCTTAGAACTGTGCCTGGCACATAGTAAGTACCCAATAGTGTAGTCCTTGTGATTGTTATTGTTTGATGTAGCCTGGTGGACCTATGTCCCTTATGATCAACGAACCCTGACTAGACAGCTGAAGATGTTTGGGAATTTCGGGGGGTGGGGCCGGGACGGACGAAGGTTTTGCATGCAGCAGTGACATGCAGGGGATGGGAGTCTGATTTTCACCTGCTTACCCGGAAGTGAGAGCTTCCACTGTGCCGAGGGCCCCAGCATAAGTGCAGAGGCCAAGGCCGATGGCCAGAGAAGTAGCTGCAGAAGGAGCTACTTCTTGTATCCCCCTTGTTATTCCTGCTTCAGCCCCAAGCCCCACCGCAGGCCCCACCCCAACTCGGGCCTCTGGGTAAGACAAAGGAGGGAGCCTTTCCCAAGAGGTCATCCACTCTGCTCCACCCTGCAGCATCCTTGACCCCTCCTCCTTCGCTCAGGAAGGTCCCCTTCCACAGCACGAGGCTGCCTGGAGCTCAGCACCTGGAAACCCCTCCGGTGCCATCTTTAAAACAGGAAATGGCTGTTCTTTGGCGAATCCTTTGCACTCCATGAACTTGCTGGAGGTGGGGCGGGCAGGAGACGGAGAAGGCAAGTCACCTTTCCTGGAGCACCACGACAACCCCTGCAAGGAGGATGACTGGCATCCCCCCTTTACATACGAGAAAACAGACTCACTGAGGGTAAGGAACTTGTCTATAGTCAGGCACAGCGTTAGAAGAGAAGCGAGTTCCCATTCGGATCTTACTGGCTCACGCTCAGGTCTCTAGTGGCCCAGGGGCCGTGAGGGTCAGTGTTTGTGGCCTTTGGTGAATGTTGCAGGGTAAGCTGGAGGACATTTCCCCACCAGAGGAAGGGATGTGCCAGCTCACGGTCACCAAGCGATCACCTGTTCCTCAGCACACGTGGCCTGTTCTCTTGTCTCTAAGCCAGAGTCCAAAAGGCCTTTTGGGTTTTGCTAATCTAGTTGAGGTAGGAGGCACTGGGGAACTCTGAGCTGCCTTTGAGACGGGAGAGATCTCTTATCTCACATTATTAATAATTGGAAGCTGCTTGTAAAAATTACGAGATTGTAAAAACCATCAGGGTTGGCTTATTGCTGAAATTGCTGTCCTACCTGGGAACAGGGGAGGCTGTTAAAAATACAGGGTCTATGAAAACGACATAAAGGATTCAGGAGACCTGGAGTGACATCCCACTCTCTCAGGGCCTCAGAGTTCCCCACTGTCAGACAGTATCTCAGCGGCTTCCAGTGGTTACCTTCCCTGTCTCTTTGGCTCTGTGGCCACCTTTCCTGGCAGGCCTGATGATGTCACACTATTCGGAGCCCGTGTTTTTCCCGCTGAGGATGCTGAGCCTGGACAGCAGCTACGGACCGGGAAACTTATCTCCCAGATACAGTGGCCAAACAGCCATATGGGCCCCACAGCAAGGAGACGTCATTTTTGTGGACTTTAACTCTCCAGAAGAAAGGGCCATAAGGACACTTTTGGAATAATTTATTACAAAAATTACAAAATTATGTACAAATATGTTTGAGGACAGGGGAAATGAAAGGGCAAAGCCAAGGGACTAGATGCCACTTGCGTTGCTCCCTGTGGCTCATGCCCAGAGGCAGCTCTCTTTGGTCTGAGGGCCAGTCCTGGCCTCCAGCTGCTCACGTTACAGACTGCCTCAGAGATCCTGTGTCCTTAGGCAGTTATGTTCCTTATTGTGCTTCAGTCTTATTACAGAAAGGGGTGGTTGAGGAGGGGGCGGCTAAAACACCTCTTTGATACCGACCTTGGTATCAGTTTCCCCACATTAAACCCAGCATATATGGGGTTAAAACCAAAACACTCATTCCCTGCTTACTCTCTGGCTTCCTGCCTCCAGAATCCGCTATCCTCCATGGAGACAGACACTGACAAGGACAAGCACCTGGACTGTCTCCTCCCCACAAAGAGATACGAGCTGGTGGGAAAGCTGCTGACCAGCAAGTTTACCGGCTCCCTCCTCTCTGCAAGTGTCTCAAGGCCAAAGACAGGCTGGTGGGAAAGCTCCGACCAGCAAGGCCATATGCTCCCCCTCCCCTACCTAAAACCCCAAATAAAAACCCTTCCTTTTAGCTTTTCGGGGAGTTTGGAATTTCAGCGTTAGCTGCCCTCTCTCCTTGCTCAGCGCTGTGCAAAAATAAAGTTCCTACTTTCTTCCACCACCCCCGGTGTCAGAGATTGGCTTGCTGCGCAACGGGTGAGCGAACTCACTTCAGGTTCGGTAACATCTTCAGGAGGTATCAGCTGTGAAAGGTCAGGGCTGCCCTTGGCCAAGCGGTTGCGTTGGCACACTGCGCTTTGCCGGCCTTGGGTTTCCCCGGTTTAGATCCCGGGTGCGGACATAGCACTGCTCATCAAGCCATGCTGAGGCGGCGTCCCACACAGCAGAGCCAGAAGGATGTACAACTGGAATATAAAACTACGTACTGAGGGGCTTTGGGGAGAAGGAAAAAAACCAAGAAAGATTGGCGACGGATGTTAGCACACATGCCAATCTTTAAAAAAAAAAAAAAAAAAAAAGGGAAAGGTCTACAGACAGTCATGCCCCAGTCGCTGTTGTGAGCGAGGGAAAGGGGATCTTTCTCTCCAGTGACAAGTTCCCTGAGCCGGACCTCCTCCTGCCACCCCGGGCCCAGCGCGAGAGCGAGGCGGGAGGGCTGTTTCCATCCAATCCTGTCTGCGCTCCAAAGGGCCAGGCCGCCTCTTCCAGGAGGGACCCGCTGACTCTCCTCTGTCGCGCGCTCCGGGCCCTCTCGGGGCCCCAGGGCCCGGGCCGGGGGGCCGGCCGGGGGCAGGCCGAGGCCTGGCCTGGCTAGGCGCGCACCAGGGCGTACTCCTTGGGCGCCCAGAGCAGGCGCGGGCGGCGGATCTCGGCCCGCCGGCCGATGTCGGGGCTCCAGCAGAACTCGGGCGACAGCACCTTGGCGGGCTTGTGCAGCCAGAAGAACTTGTTGAGGTGGCTCTCGTCGTGCCAGCGCGCCTCCAGACCGCGCGCGCGGTCCTGCCGCTGGCCCCGCGCGCAATGCGCCGTCAGCCCGCGCAGCGCCGCCACGCTGCCCCCGAACACGGCCGCGTGGTAGTAGAAGTCACCCTCTCCGGGCGCCAGCGCGGCGGCCGAGCGCGCGTCGCGCTCGAAGGGCAGCAGCCACTGCGGCCAGTGGTAGTGCCAGGCGTGCAGCTGCGCCACCGACTCGGCCAGCGCCTCGGGCCCGAAGGCGCCGCTGAAGTGCTGGTCCACGTCCATGCAGAACACGAAGCGCGCCTCGCGGCCCAGCCGGCCGCCCAGCGCCTCGTGCAGCGTGCGCATGCGCTCCATCGACACGTCCTGCCAGCGCCGCTCGCGCTCCACGCGCTCCACGCGCAGCCGGCGGCCAGGGCCCAGCGGCACGTGGGGCACGGCGGCCGGGCGCTCGGTGAACACGTAGTACACCACGCGCTGGCCCACCATGAAGTGGCGCTCGGCCGTCTCCAGGAAGCGCTCCAGGTACTTCTCCAGGTACCTGCAGGGCGGCGCGGCCCGAGTCAGCCTGCGCCGCCCACCAGCATCCCCCTCCCCGCCCCTGGCCTCCCGGCTCTGCTTCCTGGACCTCCCCGCCCTTGGAGTCTTAACAACCTCAGTCCCTGGCATCGAGCTCTCCAGTGCCAGCATCCTTCAGGGTGGATTAATGATGAGGACACGCCTGCCCTGAGGGGCCCTGTGTTCCCTACCTTGAACCTGGGCCCCCCCGACTGCTTTGATCGATAGGAAGTGAGGCTGTGCTGGCCCCTTGGAGGACTGGTGGCGTTAGCCTTTGTGCCTAGAGCGCTGAGCCTTCGCTTAAGAATTCCCAGAACTTGGGCGCTGCAGCGATGTGAGGAAGCCGGAGCTAGCCACGTGGAAGGCCGTCTGGAGAGGGTGCCCCAGCAGTCGTCACCAGTCGGCTGAACGAGACTCAGACATTCAGGAGCAGTGAGGAGCCTTCCTGCAGAGCCCTGTCTGAATTCCTGACCCACAAAGTAATGAGCTATACTGCTAATAGTAAATGGTTGTTTTAAGTCACTGAGTTTGTGGTAGTTTCTTACACAGACATCTGGAACGTTTGTAATACTGCCAACTTTGTATTAACAGACTTTGGGATCCTAGGCTTCTGAAATAGTAACAATGATGCTAGTATCTTTGAACATTTCTCATGTGGCAGACGGTGTTCTAAGTCAGCCTGCATTATCTCATTGAATGCTCTCCATTTATTATTATCTCTGTTTTTCAGATGAGGAGATGGAGCCACAAAGAGCTGTAGTAGCTTGTGCACGCATACACAGTTGGTAAGTGGTGGAGCTGAGATTTGAACCCAGCTTGGCATCGGGGCCTGTGCCTGTACCTGCACTTGCTCTGTTCCTGGGGGAACTGTTAGAAACTGGAACCAGAGACCTTGGAAGCCCCAGCATCCTAAGGTGTTGAACTCACAGAACCTTGGAACTCGAGACCTCAGGACCCTGGGATTTCTGGACCCAGAGACCCTGACCCCAGGGGCTGGTACAGGAATACCCTCCTTGGCATCCAGAATGGAAATGGGGGCACCAAGGCCCTGGGAGAGGCCAAAGCCCCAAGTGACCCAGCAGTTCTGCCCCGCTGGCCCATGGGTCAGCCGTTGGCCCTGTTTGCTCCCTTGCCTCCCAGGGTCCCGCCTGGCTGTCTCTTCCTTTTAAAGTGTGGGGCACGGAATTGCAGGAGCTCTGAGTGGTTGTGTGGGGTATCTGATGACAGAATTCCTTCCCCAGACTTTTGGATATCCCTTCCTAGATGCAGAGCTCTCACTGCCTTCCCAAAGCAGCCTGTTCCATTAGAAACTTTTCTTGTAATGGCCCTGGACTCTACCTCAGTGCCTTACATTTGTACTAGCTGATTGCCACTCTTAGCCAGGAGTCCTCTTTGCATCTGGAAAGTGGATACCCAGCTTAGACACCCCTGTCATCCATAATGGGGGAGAGGTCAGTGCCTCTGGGGTTTCTTCTCCACCTACCCCTCCAGGTTCCTTCTTCGTACCTGGGGGCCCATCCAGTGCCCAGGCCCCTCACTTCCAGTCGTTCCCGATCGGAATTGACTCCTCCTGCAGTGATTCCGTCCTCCACCCTCCTCAGTCATCTGCCTCCATGGCCATTCCCTTGACTTGGTCATCATCAGTCTGTCCCACCTCCAGAACTGCAGCCTCACCCATCCCTTCTGTGTCCCCCATCCGTCCAGCCCACTTTCTGGGATGCCACCCGCGACATTCCCATCTCACGGAGTCCTCTGGTCTGCTGACCCTCCCACTTTCTCAGCCTCTCTCTCCTGCCCTCACTTCCCTCTTCCCCAGCTCGGATTCACCCCTTGCAGAAACCCTTACCTCCCCGGCCCCTCTCCTCCATCAGACTTGCATGGCAAACCTACTCCCCTCCTCTTACTGTGTGCCAGCCCCTGAGCCACTGCCCTCCAGTGGCATCCTGCAGCCGGGCCATTGCCTGTTAGCCAGTTGCTCTCTCGTCCTCTCACCTTCTCCCCTGAAGGACTCCATCATTTTCTCACAAGCCCAGTGCCTCCAGATGGACAGCCCCAGCCCCTGGACAGGATCCTTCCGGGACATGATTCTGAGCCCCTGGCTGCCTGTTCTGGGGGGCGCTCCGTGGTGATGGTGTGCAGGGAGGAGGGAAAGGGAAGGGATGGTCCTGCCCTCACCCTGGGAGTCTGGGACAAGGGGTGCTGTCTTTGCCTCCTGCTTCACCTTGAGATCCTATGACACAGAGTAACAGGGTGCCCCCTACATCACCTGCATAGCCCTCCCACTCCCTGCCTGGACGGCACTGCTCCCCTCCCAAGGCCTTACCTGCCCACAGCAAAGACGGTCAGCCCAATGGTGAGGTTCTGCTCTACAGCCTTTTGCTGGGCCACATCTGGGTCAAAGGTCCCATCCCAAATGATGGGGGCCCCCCAGGAGGTACAGGTCAGGACTTCAGGCCGGGCCCTGGCCAGGGCAGAGATAGGGAGACAGGTGCATTCATCCATCAGCTTGGTGCATGCTCACTGCCACCTCCCCAGTGCAGGGCCCTGGGGACCCACAGAAGGGTCACACCCAGTCCCTGCCCCTAGAAGTCCTTAGCCCAGATCCAGCACAGACAGAGGATTGGGAGATGTGTGACCCTACGGGGCCACTGGGGTTGGTGGGCAGAGTCCCTGCTCTGCCAGGGTGGGGGATGTGGGGAGGGCAGGGCCCCTGGGGCAGAGCTCTGTAGGGGATGTGGGCATTTGGGAGTGGGAGAGACAGTAGCTCCTTACCAGGGTTGCAGGGGACCTGTGAAGTTGTCTCTCAGGGGCCTTCTGGCCAAAGGGCAGATGCCCATGGGGATGAGGACTTCCAGATGCCTGTGGGGTGGGGGCAGCAGTGAGGGGCAAGCCAGCCGGCTCTGGAGCCTTCTGGCTCTGCTCCTTGCAAGGAGGGAGAGCCGCCACCCTCCATCCCTCAAGGAGGCACTTGGAAAGATCCACTTGAACCCTGCCCCTGCCCGTCCCACCTCGAGCGCTGGGGGAAGGAGGTTGTACCTGACTACAGGGAGCCCGTACAGGAGCAGCCCTGAGAGGCCAAGTGCAAGTAGGATCAGCCGCCAGAAGCTTCTCTTCCAGGCCCTGGGAGGTGGGGAGGGGCGTCAGCAACTCATTTATATATACACACACGTATATGAGAGATTATTTATGTAACTTTAATATTTGATTTTATTTGCTTTTTTTGAATATGAGTATATTCTATTCACGTGGTACAGACATTCACAGGTACAAGAGTGCATCCAGAGTGCATACAGTGAAACATCTTTCCTGTTCCAGCCACCTAGTTTCTCTACGTGGAGGCAACCGGTGTTATCAGTTTCTTATGCATCCTTCCAGAAATAGTCTATGCATATACAGGCAAATCCAAGGATGGTAGCAAATTCTGTTTTCCTGCCTCTTTCTCCCTCCGCCCCTAGATGGTAGTACAGTAGAGATGCTGTTCTGCACCGTGCATTTTCCACTGACCACTGTCTTCGAGGTTTTTCCATTTCAGCACTTTAAGTGCCTCCTTACCCTTTTCCAGCTGCTCGATATGCCATTGATTGGAGATAGCATCATTTCCCTAACCAGGCCCCTTCCGATGAGCATTTAGACATACGGTCCTTTGCTTTTCCCAGCAGTGCTTCGGGGCATGACCTTGGGCAGGTTGGGGGATGGGAGCATTAGGGGTTGGAGTGCTCAGCCTGGGCAGGGGTGGGACTGGCCCTGAACAGGAGGAGAGACTGGGAGGGGAGGCGGGGCAGTTTGTGGCTTGGTGGATGGGAGTTGAGAGCAGTCTGGGACTGAGATGAGTTGCTGGGCTGCATGGAGGGCCAGCAGTGGTCAGGGACCACGTGTCCCTGGTGGCTCCAGTCCCCGGGCTGGGTTCCTCCGGCAGAGCTCAGCAGCCCCATTCCTGGCTCAGGAGGCAGACTTTGGGGTTGTTTTCCAGGAAGGGCCCCAAACGTTGAGAATCTTAATAAGCTCCTTCCAAGGATTTCATCCAGCCTCCCCTCAGCCCTGCTGTGTGCCCGTGTCTCCAGAGAGTCTGGAACCATAAATGGGAAGCATGGACACTGGGGCCAGACCCCCACGCTTGAATCCCAGCTCCACCACTTACTAGCTGTGTGAGCTTGGGCAAGGTTCTGGACCTCTGTACTTCAGTCTCCTCATCTATAAAATGTGGATAATAAGGAGGCTGGCCCTGTGGCATAGTGGTTAAGTTCGCATGCTCCACTTTGGTGGCCTAGGGTTCCCGGGTTCAGATCCTGGACGCAGACCTATGCACCACTCATCAAGCCAAGCTGAGATGGCGTCCCACATGCAAAATAGAGGAAGAATGGCATAGATGTTAGCTCAGTGACAGTCTTCCTCAAGCAAAAAGAGATTGGCAAGAGATGTTAGCTCAGGGCCAATCTTCCTCACCAAAAAAAAAAGAAGAAGAAGAAGAATACCCGCATCAGACAGCTGTCGTGGATATTGAGTTAATATGCTAAGCGGTTCAAACAAGGCCTTTCATGTAGCAATAGCTCAGTTAACTTTACCTGGTGTTTATTATTATTATTCCTGAAGTGATCCTCATTGTTGCCTGGACAACCTCCCAGCTCCACTCCCTGCCCCCCCGCCCCCGGTCTCTGTCTCTTTCAAGAAGCCTGCCTGATCAGCTCCTCCTGCGCCTGCCTGTTCTGCTGCCCCATGTCACTGTTCCTCAGCAGGTGTAGTTAGTAAATACCCCAGGGAGGCATCGTGCAGTTGGGTGTGTGTGTGTATCCGCGCACACCTCCTTCTGTTCACTTGGCCAAGCCAGAAACCTGGGCGCACCCTGCCCCTCTCTCTGCCTTGCCCGCGTCTGCTGTCGGTCCCCAGGTTGGTTGACTTAGCCTCCTCGATCTGCCCTGTCTCTGCCCCTCCTGTTCCCCCAGCCTCAAGTGACCCTGCATGCTCATACCTGACCACAGCTATTGCAGCAGCCACCTCCCAGCTTCCAGCCACTCCCTACCCAGCCCCTAAAGTCATCTCCTAAAACGCCAACCTGCCCTACCAGTGTCCACGTTACACGATCAGGTAAGTCCTTGAAGAAGCAGTACATTTAATAGGCAAACATATGGAAAAACGTTCACCCTTGCTAGCAATCAAAGACATACAAACTAGAACACGGTGGAATGCTTTGCCTATAAAATGAGCACTTTTTAAAAAGAAAGAAACCAAAATAGCCCCGCGGCAGGAATCCTGAGACAGGCTCTCACGCTTTCCAGGGGGAGCGGAGACTGCTGCCGCTTGGCTGGAAAGCTGCTTAGCTGTGGGATTGGAAGCCTCCCATATTCACCCCTTTAGTCCAATCACCCCAACTTCTGGGAATCCTTCAGAGACCATCTTCAGTGCAGGAGAAGTTTATGTGTCAAGGCGTTCGCTAGTTTCTGTCCATGCATGCGTTCAACCTGTATTTATGGGTGCCAGCTCAGAACCGAGCACTGTGCTAGGTCAAGGATTCAAAGGTGAGCAAGATACAGATCTCGTCTTCAGGGAGTGGAGTCAGCAAGATGTGGAGAGGAAGGAGGGGAGGGAATGGGTCAGATGACAGATCAAAAACAGGTGAAGGGAACACAGCACAGTGAAGGCCGTGGTGAGTGTAAATACAAGAGCTATGAGGGCAAATTGGAGAGTAGCACCTGAGCCTTGACAGAAGGGGAGGGAGTCAGGGAGCCTTCCCGGAGGAGGGGACTCTAAGCTTGGACCTGAGGATTTCGAAGTTATCCAGGCAAAGAAAGCAGTGGAGGAAGAAGGGAGGTCCATGAAAAGGAAACAACAATGTGCAAAAGTGGGGAGGTGATAGAAGCCTGGAGGGACAGGGCACTGCCAGTCATGCTGCAGGCGTGGGGAGCAGATGGAGTGTGAGAATTGAGGCTGGAGGTGAGCCGGAGCTGGGTCCCCCAGGGCCCGCCTACAGGCTAAGGGGTTTGGACTTCATCGTGAGGGCCAGAGGGAGCCCTGACAGCTATCTCCTCCAGGCAGGGCTGCAGTCAGATTTGTATTTGAAAGACAGTATTACCACTGAACTGTTGAGCCTGGACACGGGCGAAGCGCGGCTGGAGGCAGGAAAACAGGTTAGGGTCGAGTGCCAGCCCGTGGGAGCTAACGGGGGCGTGAACCAGGGTGTTGGTGTGGGGTGGGGAGGAGCACTTGGTCAGCAGGAGGTGGGGTGGGTAGGACTTGGTCACTGATTAGAGGGACAGGGCTGGGGGACCGGGAAAGGAGATGATGCCTGGTTGTCTGGTTGGGGGCAGGGAGCCAGAGCCCAGCAGGCAGGGAGGCCCAGGAGAGAGTTCTGGGATTCACAGGCCGGCAGGGGTGTCACAGGAAAGAGGAGGAGAGCAGAGGAAGAGCCAGGGCCCAGGCACGGAGGGCCCAGGTGGGACCGGGCAGGGGACCGAGGGCTGGAGGAGTCAGTGGAGGTGCAGTGGTGGAGGCAAGGGGAATAGGCGTCTCTTTCCAGAAGTTTGGCTATAAGGAGGAAAGAGGATGGTAACTGGAGGGGGCTGAAGGGTGGGACTGATGGAGGTGTATGTTTCTTTTACACACGAGAGACTTGAGCTTGGTTAAATCCTGGGCGGAAGGCGTTATGCAGGCCGCTCAGACACAACTGAAAAGGCCCTACTGTCCAGCCGAGGGGACTGGCTAAGTGAGTGCTCCACGAAGACCCTGCGATCATGTGAAAAAATGCTGACGCAGGAACCTTAAATGAAAAAGCAGGATCTAACATTGGTGGGCACTGGAATAACAGTTTAGCAAAAATAAAAACATGCACCAGAAAATAAGGCTAAAAAGAACTGAAGTGTTTGTGCAATAGTTATAGGAGGGTTTTTCCTCTTTATTCCCAAGACCCTCCCCGCCCATTGCCTGTAACAAGCTTACAGAGACTGCAAGATAAAGTCCACGTCTCTTAGCCCCGCCCAAGAAGCCGGCAAAACCTGGTTCCTCGACTGTCACATTGAAGTGCTCAAACCTGACCCCGCTTTGCCACCTCTCAAAAGGGAGATTCCACAGTGGGGGGGCCAAGGATGTTCATTGTTTCATTGTTTGAAAAGCAGATAGGCACAGACAAGCGCAGTGTTCACCAGTGGGGAATTGGTGAATGAATTATGCATACCTACACAATGGAAAGCAACATGGCCATTAAAAAGGATGAGGTAGATTTATATGTCCGCTCTGGAAAACAGGTCCTAATGAGTGGCGTGGAAAAGGAGACAACAGAGCTCTGTGCAGAGACAGAGCTCCCTTCTGGGAGGGGAAAGCCCCTGTACCGTGTTCCCTCGCATTTACTATGTGTATCTACGTTCTTTTATAAACAGGTAGGAAAAGATCTAGAACAGCATCGTCCAAGAGAAACATAATGCGAGCCAGATATGTAAATTAAAATTTTCTAGTGGCCACATTAAAAAAAGTGAAAAATACCGCTGAAATTAATTTTCGTAATATTTCCTCTAACCCAATATATCCAAATTATCATTTCAACATGTAATCAATATAAAAATTAAGATGTTTTACATTCTTATTTTATACTAAGTCTAAATCCTGAGTCCAGGGTGTATTTTAGACTTAGAGTTTATTTCACTTGGAATTCGCCACATTTCAAGCGCTTGGTAGCTGCCTGGGGCTGGCGGACAGCCCCATATTGGACAGTGTGAAAACAGAAGGAGACACACCACTTAGTGGTGGGTTGAGGCTGGAGGGAGGAGAGGGCTCCACCCTTTCACTGGATATACTTTTGTAACGCGCTGCGGCACAATGAGCACGTTCCTTTTGTTATCTAACAGAAGAAAATGATGTCTGTTTCTTCACACTCATCTTTTACCCGTCTTCCCCTTAGGTTCTCGTCAACCTCTGGGTGTTTTCCAACACCAACAACTAATTCAGTTCTCCAGCATCAAGTGGGTGTCCAGTAATTCAGTTCAATTCTGACACTATCAACCTGGCGTTAGTATCGGATCCCACAAGTGAAAGGGCTCAGGCCCAGAAGATCTCCCCCACTTCCGATGCCAGCTGCAAATCTTGGGCCACCCATACTTCTGACTGATTGGCTATAAATCAGAGGTTCCCACAATCCCGTCTTCTGGTTCAATAATTTGCTAGAACGGCTCACAGAAGTCAGGAAGTCACTGTACTTACATTTACTGGTTTGTTATAAAGGATCCAGACGAACATCCAGTTGAAGAGGTACATAAAGTGAGGTCCAGAAGGGTCCCGAGCTCAGGAGCTTCTGTCTCCATGAAGCTAGGGTGCGCCACCCTCCCAGCAGATGGATGTGTTCACCAACCCGGAAACTCTCTGAATATTGTTGTTCAAGAATTTTTATAGCCCAATATTCAGCCCTGCCTTCCCTCTCTGGAGGTCAGAGGTCCGGAGTGGGGCTAAGTTCCCAGCCTCTAATCACCTGGTCTTTCCAGTGATCAATCCTGTCCTGAGGCTATCTAGGGACCACACCCTAAGTCACTTCATCAGCATAAATTCACCAGTGAGAGGGGCTCATTAGGAATAACGAAAGGCACTCCTACTGGGAAATTCCTAAGGTTTTAGGAGCTCTTTTCCAGGAACATGGGGAAACTTGGCCAAAGACCAACTGTCTCTCTTTTCTGTGTATGTGTGTATGGGAGGAAGATTGGCCCTGAGCTAACATCTGTTGCCAATTCTCTTTTTGCTTGAGGAAGATTGTTGCTGAGCTAACATCTGTGCCAATCTTCCTCTCTTTTATGTGGATTGCTGCCACAGTGTGGCTTGATGAGCGGTGCTAGGTCCACACCCGGGATCCGAACCTGTGAACCCCAGGCTGCTGAAGCCAAGCAGCAACCCAACCACTATGCAACCGGGCTGGGCCTCCAACTGTCTTTCTTATACCGCACCCACTGTCAGGCTTCCCTCCTGGAACGGGGGTGGGGGCCAAGCCACTGCCCAGAGCTTCTGGAGGGACTGATCTGGGCATTGTGGCTTCAGTGTCAGAGGACACCGGGGGCATTGGTGCCACCTGATCTCTCCACTTGGATGTCTCAGAAGCATCTCAAACTTATGTGGCCAAAAAGGAACTCTTGATTTTCATCAGAAGCCTGCTCCCCACTCATGTCTCCTCCATCTCAGTAAATGACCTAGCCCATTTCTCACACTGAAGACCCAGGAGTCCTCCTTCTCTCACTCCCCACGTGCAGTCCCCCAGCAAACCCTGTGGACCCTCCCACAAACACACCCCAGTGCATCCACTGCCTCTCATTCTGCTGCAGCCATCGTCTCCCTCCCCTGGATAACTTTCACAGCTCCTGTCCCACCTCCCTGCTTCTATTCCTGTCCCCAATAGTCACTTCTCCAGAATGATCTTTCAGAAACATCAAGGAGAACATGCCTCTCCCATCTTCAAGACCTTCCAGTGACTTCTCACTGCTCTTAGAATAAAACCCACACCCTGGACTCTGGTCTGCAGAGACCTGTGCCTTCGGCCCCTGCGCCCTGCTTGTCTCTCCCTCTCCCTTTTGCGCTCGCCTGCTGCGCTCCAGTCCCCCTGCCCTCTTGCTCACCTTCGCGTGGCTTGTCTTTCTGTCATTTGAATCTCAGTTACAATTTTCTGTGCATCCTCTTTCACCCCTGGCTTCTCTCTACCAGTGACTCCACAGTCTTTGTCTCCAGCCAAAGCTGGACTCAGGTGTCGTGTGTCTCTGGACAGCTGTGTCCGCCTGGGTGTCCCACAGACGCCTCAAACTCAGTCCTCCTCCAGCAGTTTTTTTTGCATTTCTCATGATCTCTTCTTCCTTCTGTGTTCTCTGCGGGGATCTCAGTTACCCAAGTGGGACCCTTGCTCCCTCCCCCTGTAGCGAAGCCGTTCAGTGCCTCCCCTGTTGAGCCCATTCGTGCCTCATTGTTTCTCATCTGGATTCCTATAACCATCTCCTAACTTGCCTCCCAGTCTTGATCCCGTGAAGTTTCCTGAACTTGCCTACGACCTGGTGTCCTCCCCATCTCCACTCTACTTTTGCCCAGATTGCTTTTTCCTATCAACCACCACCAAACTCAGAATCACTCTCCACACCCAGCTTCCCCCCTTGTGAAGCCTTCCTCGACCTCCCCCTCTGACACCCTCTACCCCGAGCTGCTCCTCCGGACCTGTGCAAACCCGTCCTCAACACTTGCCAAACCATCTGTGACTGTCCGCCCCACCAGACCACGAGCTTCCTGTTTTATTAGACTTTGTATTCTCGGTGCCAACTCTGGGAGCCCGCCTCATAGTTTGTGCATTAATAATTGTTTGTTCAGTAAATGAATGAAGCAATGAATGGATTGCTTGTCTTTGTTCTCTTTCCCAAACTGACTGTTCCTCCTTTGCTTGACACTCCATTTTCTTCAGGCTTAAGGCTGCCCTCTTTGTGAATAATCATAGACCTTTCCTGGGGCAGACACTCTGCCAAGTGTTTCTGGTCCCTGTCTCATTTGAAGTCTGACCACAATCCCTTGAAGGAGATGCTATGATTATCTCTATCTTATAAATGAGGAAACTGATGTTCAGAAAGGTTAATTCACTTGCTCGGGGTCACACAGCTGGTAAGTGGTGGAGCTGAGGTTTGAACTTAGATCTGTCTGTCTCGGAAGTCGGAGCATGGCATTTGGGACTCCCACGAGTTGGCCCCAGCTCGGCCCTGAGGCTCATCCCCCAAGGGTCCCTGGCCCTTTTGTTAGGCCTCATGGGCTTGGCTCCTCCCAAGTCACCTCAGGTTTCCTGCCAGTCAGTGCCTCTCCTGCAAGAAGCCTTTCTCTCTCCTCACTTTCCAGGTCTACGCGGTGCTCCTGGACTTCTGGCTGCAAGTGGGCCTCCCGGCTGCGCCTGGAAGCAGGACTGCCCCAGGAGGTACACTGTGGAAGGTATGTCTGTGCTGCAGGTGCAGGAGCAGGCAGGCTGGAGGGGACCTCTCTCTGTCCTCGGCTGCTGTCCCAATCCTCTTAGCCAGCCCCTTCCCAAACAAGGTAGGGCAAACCAGTGCTTATCTTGGGCACCGGGCCTTGGCTGGGCCAGTCAGGCAGAGCTGTCCCCAAGTGGCCCAGGTGAACTCAAACTGTGAGGTCTGGGAGGGTGCTGAGACTCAGGCCCGCGGTAGTCACCCACCAGCTCCTGCCGCCCCCTCCCCGGCCCCAGCCTGGGAGTCCTTCGTGCGCAGAGGCCTCTGCCTGACCCATTCCTCCACAATCCTTGCTCAGATATTTTCCAAGGGACCCCCTCCACCCCACCTCCACCTGCAGAAGGTAGACCCTCAAGCTTGCTCCCTCTACCCTCCTTGCTTTTAGGAAGGGGTTAAATATCAGTCATTAGTTCTTAAGTGGGAACAGGTTTGCAACCCTGGACGGTCACTCTGGGAACAGAGAGAGCTCTCAGTTACCGTGGGGATGCAGCCCCCGGGGCCTGGTCCTCTGGTGCACCAGCGGGGCTCAGAGTTAAGGGAAGCAAGAGGAGTTACCCAGCTCTTCACTGGCTACGAGATCTCCCAGGATGCAGTCTTCCCTCACCCCATTGTTGGTCCCCATAGACCATCTACCCCTTGGGTGATGTCCCCTCTCAGAGTCACCTTCCTCCAGGACCTATACAGCTCAGCTGGTACTCAGCAGGCTAGCCTTGGTGCCTCCTCCTTGACTGTTCTGGCCACCAGCCTGGACTCCTCTCAGGTCAGCTGTCACAACCCATTCCTCCCCCCCCACCCCGCAGTGTCCCCACTCACCTGAGTCGCTCCTTGAAAACCATGCTGAGAAGCTGGTGGGACAGCCTGCCAAGAGCCCTCTCAGCTCAGAGCCAGGGAAGAAATGACTGTTCCTGGTGACTGGGACAAAGCAGCCTCAGGCCATCTGTCAGAAACCACACCCACAGGACCTAGCAGGGATGAATTTGCTTGGGGGTGGCGCCTGCTGGAGAGAGCTGGCCCCAGGATGGCGTGGGGGCTGGGAAACCCCCAGGGGCCAATCGCCTGGAGGAGAGTGGCTCTGAGTAAGCCTAGCTCTGGTTGGCCAGAGGCTCTCAGCTCTTCTGTACTGACTCCTCTGGCCCCCCACAGGGCTCCCTGGACCCCTCCTGAGTGTCTTCCCGTCCTGGGAAAGGTCAGGCTCCGCTGTTGCTTCAGCCAGGTCTCAAGGGCTCTGGTCACCTGACTGTGACCTTGGACAATGCCCTTTGAGGAGCCCTTTTTCCTCAGTAAAATGAGGTGCGTACACCAGTCACCCGGGTCTGTGCAAGAGCCACACCACAGTGGATATGGAACAGTTCTGCAAAGTTTACTTTTACACTGGGCAGGGTTTTTAAAAGTGCAGGTTATGATTCATCAGAGGGCTGTGAAGTCAGTTTGGTGGATTGTGACCAAGATTTAAAAGGTATGAACAGGATGAGAAGTGAAAATATCAGAATGCATCGGACGGGAGGGTAGGTATTCTTCTGTGAAATTTTTGTTTGTTATATATATTTAAGAATGTGTACGAGGGTGAGAAACATTAAACAGTGGGTCATGATCAAAAGGGGTTTGCAAAATTCTGTGTAAAGTGTAAACCACAGGAGCAAATGCATATTTAAGGAAGCACTGTCCAAGCTTACAATAGGTTAGGGTCTTTCACCGGAAGGAAAGGAATGGTGCCAATACTCACCTGTTTGTCGGTCCCCTCAAATCCACCACATCTTCTTTTAGGAGTAGAGTCACGCGGTGCTTAACAACGGGGACACGTTCTGAGAAATGCATTGTCAGGTGATTTCATCGTTGTGCGAACACCACAAAGTGCATCTGCACAAACCTTGATGGTACAGCCTGCGACACACCTGGGCTACGTGGTACCATCTTATGGGACCGCCAGTGTATATGCCATCAAGGACTGAAATGTTATGCAGTGGCTGATTGTGGTTTGGGTTCCCTCCTTCTCCGTGACACACATACAAACTCAGGTGGGGCCTGGTTTGTCTTCCAGAAAAGAAAAATCGAGGTTCAGAGTGGAGAGATGCCCAGAGCCACAGGGGCCCTGGTGAGCCTGCCGCGTGGCCTGGAGTGGGAGGGGCAGCGCACCGGCTCCCTCTCCGCCAGGCACCCTCCTCAAGGTTCTTTCTGCCTGCCCGCCCACCGGGCCTCAGCTCAGGGTCACGCACAGGCCCATCTTCTTAGCCATTCCCCACCTCCTAACAAAAGATTCCAGTCCTGGCTCCACCCTCTGGGCAATCAGCGGGTTGCTTCTCCTCCTCCTCCAGGTGAGTAGTTACATTTTAACAGGCTCTCCAGAGGACTTAGCAAGAGAAGCACTGGCTCTTGAACTTTACTGTGCTCAATCTTTCTTAGCTCCACCTGCTGATTGAACAGGTGGGGGGCCCAGGCCTCAAACCCATGCTTTACAGGGGGCGGAAACACTGCCTTAAGGAAAACCTACCTCCCCCTTCCCTTCCCTTCCCCTGGGGCAGACGCAGGGCGATTTTAAGCTCCATGGGAGCAGGACATGGGGTCATTTGGTTCACCATGAAGGCCTCATTCTAGCACAGGGCCTGGTCACACGGTCGGCATGAGCCTCGGTTGGCCACACACGCCTCGTCCAACCCTGCCCGCTAATCTGCACTTTCATCTTCATGCTAATCATGCCTGTGCATGAACTGCCTGGCTCTGGAACACCCTTTTTCCTTTATTGGAGGCTTAGGTGTCACCTCCTTGAGGACACTGACGCTAATAATTTGCTGTTTCAGCATCCAAAAATTGCTAAAGAAAAATGCTGCGTGAAGCAAAGCCATCCCAAGGCTGTCCTGGACCCCGAGCAGCGACAAAGAAGGTATCTGCGGGGCAGTGGCGGCGGGGCTCTGCCCCAGGGGCTCCACCTGGCCCTGGCCCAGGAATATCACGTCTCCCCAGCAGGAATGGCGGGAGCGGGGCTCAGAGCTGAAGGCACTCTGCCTCAGAGATGGGGTCTGCTTTTCTCGCATGAACTGGGACTAAGGAGACCCTCAAATGACCTGACCCCAGAAAAGCGTGGAGGGTATGCTGTCAGTTAAGGTGGTTGTCCCTCCTCCAACCCAGGGACCCACCCTTCTCTTTATGGGTGAAAAGTAGCCATTCAGGACCAGAGACAGGCACTCCCAGGGGAGAAAAGCACAAAGGAAACAGATTTTACAGGTTTATTTTTAAAAAACAAAAGGTTAAAAAAGTCCTTCATTTCCAACCCTGCCTGGGGGTGTGAGTGGGGAATAGAACAAGCGAGAAAGGTGCCCACGCTCTTCCTGGGGGGGAGTCCCACTCTTCCCCGGGAGCCTGCAAGGACAGGGCAGGTCAGAGGCAGGCCCTCACCCTTCCTGCCCTGCCTCCTCCGCAGGGAGCTCAAATTGCTGCTAGCAAGTTCGAGAGGCAAAGAAGTGTGGGAGCGGGAGGCCAAAGGCTGCCTTCTTCGCGTCAGCGGTCACTCCAGCTCTTCTCTGCCCTTGGCCGTTCTCTGGGCACCCACCCCTGGGGCTTCCAGGGTGGCGGGCAGGCAGGCCAGGAGGCTTGGCCTGGCCCAGCCCACCGGCAGCTTCCTTAATGCTGTTTGTGACACAGCAGGGCAGTCAGGGGACTTCACAGTGTGGGGAAGGGGCTTCGGAGACATCTTGACAAGTCTGGGAAGGAAATCTCCTTATCTTCATCGCTTTCTGATCATGCCTCTGCACTGAGGCTGTCCTCCTTTTCTATTCCCCATCCTGAGGCTGAGTGGAGTCCAGGACAAAGCACTAAGTGGCTGTTTGCTACAAAACACCTGGAGAAGCCAGAGGGTGGCGCTTGGCCTTTCTGTCAGTCCAGGCTCCCACACAGTCACACAGTCACACACACAGCGTTAAGGCGTCTGTGCCAGCAGGCATGGCCAAACTGGGCCCAGCTTCTCTCTCTCCACCTGCACAGGGTGAAGGGGGCGAACCCCTGGCTGCTTCAGAAACAGGCTGAAGGGGGAGAAGCTGGCCACGGAAGAGTGAGCCAGGCCCGGAGAAAGAAGTGGGAGGAAGGCAGGCAAGGGCTTTCAAGGCCTCTCTCCAGGCCTGACGGCTGCCCTTGGAAGTAACCCAACTCAGGTTGGGGAGCCCTGACCATATACCCCCTGGAAAACGGGGGACAGAGGGAGGGGAAGAGAGCGGGGCTAGAGTATTGGGACTTTGGAGGAAGCCAGTGCTATCAATATTTACAAGCATAAAGCCCCATCTTCTGCGCCACCCACCTCTCTGCCCCTCCCACAGAAAGAAAGGCCCCTGAGAGCCATTGGGGAGGTGCCAAGACCTCCTCACCAGCCATGCCCCATAGGGAGAGCCCCTTCCCTCCACCTGGCCCCATTTCTGGCCCCCTCAGGAATGTCTGTCTGGCTCTGCTCAGGTGGGAGGAGGAGCCCTGGGCCAGAATCCCGGCTGCCTGGCGGCCCTAGGAGTCCTTGAGCATGCTGATGCGAGCATAGATCTTCAGGGCGGGCCCCAGCTTGATGTTCATAGCACTCATCAGGTGGTCCTCCTTGAGCAGCAGCAGAGCTTGCCCGTCGATCTCCTGGGCACGGAATTCCTCTGCTATCTCCTGGCAGCCTGCGGGGACACCACCAAAGACAGCATCAGTCAGAGCGACCAGTGTCCACTCCCGGCAGTCATGAACTTCAGACATGTCATCTCACTTCAGCCTCATAACTGCGCCTTGGGGAAGGGGTTGCTGTTCTCATTTTGTAGCTGGAGAGAGGCTAGGTGCCTCCCCCAAGGTAGCCAGACTGCTGGGCGGCCCCTGGTGATGTACGCCTCCTTATTCCTGCGGGTCCTTGTCCAGACCCCTCCCCTCAATGAACTGGGCACCTGGGAGATCAAGGTGTGGCGAAATGACAGCATGGCATTTCTGAGGCTGGACCATGAAGGGCACAGCAGCTTCCACTCGGCTCTTTTGGATACTTTATCTTGGAGTGAGTCAGCTACCACGCTGCGAGGATGCTCAAGCGGCCCTCTGGAGAGGCCCCCGTGGAGAGGTGCCGAGGCCTCTTGCCCACAGCAGCCCCATCATGGGCCATGTGAGTGAGGCACCTCGGGAGTGGATCCTCCAGCTCGAAACCTCCAGACAGCAGCGGCTCTGGCTGCCATCTTGACTGAGACCTCGTAAGAGACCCCACAGCAGAACTGCCCAGCTAAGCCACTCCACATTCCTGACCCACAAAGCCCTTGAGATATCAGTGATTATTGTTTTAAGCCACTAAGCTTTGGGGTAGTTTGTTTCACAGCAACAGATAACTAATGCAGATTTTGGTATGTGCCATAATAAAACCCTGAAAATGTGGGTGTGCCTGGAGGCAGCAGTGGGGGGGCTGGAAGGAGTCTGAGGAGAGTGCTGAGAATCTAAGGTGCTTTGAGAGACTGGGAGGAGAAGTCTGATGGGCTTTGAGGAAACTGGCGGGGAGGCTTAAAGGAAGATGAGCAAACTGTTACTGGAAACTGAAAGAAACGGGATCCTTGTTATGAAATAGTAGGAAATTTAGCAACACTTGCTGGTGGGAATATGGGGAGTTTAATAACCTATGAACTGAGTGACATGGCTACGGAGATTTTCAGGCGGAATGCTGAAGGCGTTGCCTGGCTTTTGATTGCTGCTTGCCGTTAGGGGAGAGGAGAGAGAAGGTAAAGGAAAAGCTGTTAACATAAAGGAGCCAGGATTTGCTGGTTTTGAAAATCCCTAGCCTCTGCAGGTGGCAAATGAGCCTCAAGTTAAGAAATGGTTTCTAGGCAAAGATCCAATCCAAGACATAGTCAAGAAAATACGGTTTGAAGATGAAACTGAGAGTGTGATTTAAATCTTTTGTTAAGACCTCAGAAAGATCTCAGGTACTGCCTCAGAGAACTGTTCAGTCAAAAGGCTCTCTAAGGATGTTATGGGCGTGCTACACAGATCCTCTCCATTCAACAGCAGGGCTTCAAAGACCATTAAGGGCACTGTCCCTCAGCTGCAGAAGCAGACTGATGTAGAGAAAGGCTTACCTTGAAGACATTTTTGGGTACAGTATTTGTTTAATGGAGTAAAGTCCAACAAAATTCATAGGAAGCTCACAAAGATTTTGAGAGAATTGTATTGGCAGAAACACTGCTTGCTTGGACTGGGCATAATACAAAATTCATATTACAGAGGTAATACAAAATAAAAAGCAATAGGAAGTAGCCTGAGAAAACTACTCCACTGAAAACTCAGACAACCATTTATGGGAAAGGAAGGACAACTCAAAGGGTTGAAAGACTCGAAAGTGAAAGAGAGTCACTCCTAGGCTTTACAGTCCTAATCAAGGAAATGCCACCACGTGCCCTGCTAGATTTCAGAACTGGTAGGGATCAGTGATTCCTATATCCTGTTTTTTCCCTTTTTGAATGGGCATGTCCAAGGCAGTTATCCTTTGCCTATCCCACCACATCTTGGGTTTGTGGAGGGAATGGATAACCTGTCTCTAGTTCTCAGGTCTTCAGACTGAGAGGAATCATACTTGAGGAGCTGGATCCCAAGGAGCCTCATCTGTGCCTGGACCTGACTTACAGGAGGAGCTCCTGGACTTCAAACTACCGCTGTAATAGGATGATACTGTGGGGACTTGGGCAGGGGTAAGGGTATTCTGTATGAGGGAGGAACATGAATCAATGGGAGTCAGTGGTGAACTATGGTAACCAGCTTCCCAAGGGTTCCCAGTGATCCTTGCTTCCTTTTCACACTCTCGTGAGTCCCCTCACACAATGAACAGAGTTGACCTGTGTGACCAATAACATATTGTGGAGGTGACAGTATGGTGTGTGATTTCTGAGGCTGGATCATAAAGGGCACACTGGTCTCCACCTTGCACTCCTGGATCACCACCTGTGGGGAGAACTGGCTGCCATGTCCTGACAGCCCTCCAGCCTGAGTGTTCTGAGGAAGCCCATGTGGAGAGGGCCTGAGGCCTCCTGCCAACAGCCTACTCTAGTTGAGAATCACCTAAGGGAGGCATCTGGCGAGAGGATCCTACAGCCCAGTCAAGCCTTTAGATCACCTCAGCTTGACATCTTCATCCCAACCTCATAAGAGACCCTGCAGCAGAACTGCCCAGCAAGCCACTCTCCAATTCCTTACCCACAGTAACTGCGATACATTTGGGGATGCAGCAAAAGATAACTCATACACTGGATCAAGTGGCAGAGCTGGGATGAGAGCCCAGTTGTTTGACTCGGAAGTCTGTGTCCTTAACCGTTATACCCCACACCAGTCTCTGAGTAACGGGCTTGCGGTGGCCATCAATACCTGACCTGGTCAGCAGCTGGCTGAGACAGGCAGAAAAAACAGCAGAGAAGCTTGGGGGCCCCACAGAAAGTGTTCGTGAAGGGTGTGAGGTTTGTCTTCCAAGGTCCATTTCTAGAGTCTAGCCCTCAAAACCACCTGCACTGCACGCGGGATCCGTGCAGGTCCCAGCCACGTCATGTGCTTTCCTGACTTGGTGCCTCTGCTCAAGCTGCTCCCTGATACAATCTCTGCATCTGGCAAAGGCCTGTCCACTGTCGTTCAGTTTAAATTTTCTTAATTTTGATGGTTTCCTTGACTGATTTCCTACACTCCTACTCCCATCTCCTACTCCTAACCTGCCCCAGAAGAGACACAGGGTGAATCACATTATCACCTCTGCATTTCACACAGACCGTTTACCATGCCAGCAAATACATCAAATTCCACCTGTAGAATATCACTTACAGTTTGTGTTCCCCGCTGGAATAGCAGCTCTTACAGGAGGAAGCTCATCTTCTCCATCTCTGCACCCCTGCTCCTGAACCTGAGTCATCAGCTGA